TCACCTGCCCCCTCTGACGTGCTGATGGTCGTGTCACTTGACCCCTCTGATGTGCAGATGGTCATGTCACCTGCCCTCTCTGATGCACAGATGGTCGTGTCACCTGCCCTCTCTGATGCACAGATGGTCATGTTACCTACCCTCTCTGATGTTAGGATACCAAGGTGTTCTGCCCTCCTCCTCCAAGTGAGCCCTGGGAAGATGGGCAAGAGGCTGAACTAGAGAGGTGATAGACAGGTAGGCTCAGAACAGTGGCGAGAAAAGCATCGGGGGTCATAGCAACAGCTGCCTACAAAGGGTCCAGACAGACCCTAGAGGACCTGGCCCATAAGAGGACCTTTCAAAACTGGACACTCTAACACTGGTACCAGCATCTCCAGTGCCCACCAAGTGCTACTAGGAATCCATGCTAGGAAGGAGTCAAATTGCACCCTCACCCCACCTGCCTTCCTCCTCAGCATCCCCCAACCTCAGAAGGGAGTGACGTCAATCGTTCATCTGTCCCAGTTAACGAGCCCTCTCTGGTTTCTGTTGCCAAGCTCATGCTAGGTGTGGGAATCCAGTTATTCCTGTGTTTAGTTGTGTCTTACTCATGACATCGTCCCTGTCTTACAGGGAGCCAAGAACCAAAAAGCCAGGCATGGTGGCACACACCTGTAATACTAGTACTTGGGAGTACTTGACAGGTGGATCAGGAGTTCAAGGTCAGCCTTGGCTAAATAGTAAGTTCAAGACTAGCCTGGGCTACATGAGACCCTGACCCCCCCCAAAGAATCAAAAACAAACAAAAAACAAAGGATCAAGAGGCAAGCTAGACTATAGGTCTTTAAGACTCTTTACAAAGCAGATAGTTTTCCCCTTAGCATTTTGTTTTTCCTCTATCCTAGGATCAATAATGGAAATTCATATTTTCTGACATTGCTGTGCCAGAGTATTGAGAGGGAAACACTGAAGGGTTGGAAGTAAAATTCCAGCAGGACATCAGCTGCCTGATTCTGGTGATGAGGACTTGAAGGCTTCCCTTGGTCAGTCTCTGAGCTGTGAGTGCACAGACGGGCACTGGCCCTCAGGTCCCTGGATCAGAATGTCTGTCCAGGGTGGCACTGTCCTCACAAATGTCACAGGCTCTAGGAGGTATGAAGAGAGACAGAGGGAGTCTAGGTGGAGACAGGGCCAGCATGCACTGTCCCTTGCATGTGTCCTGGCCTAGTATTTGGCCTGTTACACTTTCTTTCTCTGCCCAGGGGTGAGATCAGATAGCAGGGGATTCAGGGGTGGCGGGAAGAAGGCTGTGTCCCTTTCTGATCACCTGCCCTGGGAGAACTTTAAATAGCAGCTCTGTGCCCACGCATGCATGCCTTGGAGGAGTCAGCTTCTGTGACCGAAGACAGAGGGCAGACAGATAGATGCCTGGCTGGGTCCCAGGTGCAGCCACTGGGGACTGAGGCATGCTGTCCAAGCCTCACTCTTTGAAGGCACAGAGTGGGCTCTTCTGCCCCCAACAACTCTGTCCACAGAGTCTTTTCTGATTTATTTTTATAGCTAGTATTGGGCTTGGTTGTTTTCTGTTACCTTTCTTCTTACCTAAGGTGTTTATTACAACCATTTATTGTAATGTGAGCTCATCTCTGCCGTTGAGCTGGGGGCTCACGAAAGACAAGGAATAGATCTTTCTCCCTGCACCTTCAGCCCCTGGTAGTAGCACATATGAAAGTGCTGTGTGCCCAGTGACAGTCTCTGGTATACCAGGCTTTCCTGGACCCTGCACTTCTCTGTGCCATGTGGCTGACCCACATCTGACTCCTCTCTGAAGCAACCCATTGTGCATTCAGGTTTAGATTGGATGTCTGAGGTCTCTTGGCTCCCTGCCCTCTTCTCCTAGCCTGCAAGGACTCTGCCAGCCTGTCCTTAGATGCCAGTTCACAGCTCAGTTTACTGGGCTCCCAGGACCAGCACTTGTCTTGGCATTGAACCTGAAAGTAGCTCTGGGTCCCCTGGGCCCAAGGCCTCCCTCTGAGTAGCTGGCAGCTGTGAGGTTTGTGGAGCTTGAGGATGGAAGGGATCAGGGAAGAGGGCCTGTGTGGCTTCCTGTCTGACCTCTTCCACAATGGTCCTGGAGCTTCTGGTTTTTTAATTGTTTATTTATTTATTTTTATGTGTATTAATTTTTGTCTGCATGAATGTATGTGCAACATGTGCATTCAATCCTTGTGAATGTCAGAAGAGAACTTTGGATCCCCTGGAACTGGAGGTACTGAGTTGTTAGCTGCCATGTGTGTGCTGGGAACTGAGCTTGGGTCTTCTGCAAGAGAAGGCAGTACTCTTAACTCCTAAGCCATCTCTCCAGCCCCTAGCCAGACTTAAAGTTCTCCAGGAGGTGGCAGGTGGTGTGGGGCTGTGAACCTTCTTGGTCAGCCCCATCCCTCCCCACCCGCCTTGGGGAAGCGGCACTGTCCTTTGAACTGGCTGCAGCAGGCAGTTCTAAAGAGTCAGCCACACCCTTTCCCGGGTGACCAGCATTTAGATTTTCTAGGGAACGGAGCTCAGCCTGTACCAGTGCTATTGGTCTTTCCTGTCTGAGCCTAAGGTCATCTCTCACCAACTGCCTTTCTCTCCACAGAATGCCAAGTACCGGGGCTCCATCCATGACTTCCCAGACTTTGATTCCAATCAGGATGCTGAGGCTCTGTACACAGCCATGAAGGGCTTTGGTGGGTATCAGCCCCACGAGTGGATCCTTCAGGGAGGACGGTAGATGGGAGGTTGCCGGTACCATTTGGAATCTATCCCAGAGCCTTTGTTATTATTCCATGACCTTTCTAGGGAGATATGAGTGATAGGTAGGGAACCAGTGACAGACCGCAAAACTGATTCTACCCAAGTCCAGTTTGGTGAACCAGTTAGTTTATTGGGGTTATTTACAGGAGCATAGGAGACCCCCCCCAAACAACTGCATCACCAAAAAGCCTACCCTAGCATATACGATGACTCGGGAAAGCTACATCTCTGAAGCCCCCGCCCAACTTGCAAGTGTTACTGCTTTTATAACCTTGGGGAGGGGCCTTGTGATTCGTGTATCTTTCTGAGTTTTCTCTTACTATTGTTGTTGTTTTACGTGTATGAGTGTTTTGCCTACATGTATATAAGTTCACCAGCGTGTGTACAGTACCCATGGGGGCCAGAAGAGAGTGATGAATCACCTGGAACCGGAGTTATAGGTGGTAGCTGCCATGCGGGTGCTGAGAACCAAACCTGGGTCCTCTGAGAACAGCCAGTGCTCTTAACCTCTGAGCCATCTCTCCAGCTCCCCTTTTTGAGTTTTCTGAGCCTGCTAAATTTCATGAGCTTTCTGAGCATTGAGCTAGGTTCATTTTATGAACTTCCTGAGGGAAGAAGCCTCCCTCCTCCTTGAGGGAATGTCTCCTTTCCAGGGACGCAGCTGCACAGCAGCTGTGGGAGGGGGTGGGGGAAGGGTGCTGAGATGCTGCAATGTAGTTTTGTTTCCTTCCCAGTTGCTAGGGATTGGCCCCAGGACCTCACACATGCTAGGACGTGGTATACTTCTGAGGTCTGTGAAATTATTTTCCATAATTTTACAATGAAAGAATGTTAAACTACTAAAGAGATATAGCAGAATCCCACCCACAGACCTACCACGGGACTTAGGGAACAGGCCTGGTAATGTAGCTGAGCACTGTGGTCTGTCAGTGCCCTGGTGATGACTCCTAACATTCCTCAGGGTAACCACTGCCCTGCGTTTCTTGGGCTGGGGGGCAGGGGTAAGACAGGTCTCCCAGCTGGCCTGGAACTTGCTGTATAAACCAGGCGGGCCTTGACCTCACAGAGATCTACATGCCTCTGCCTCTCAAGTGCTGGGATTAAAGGCGTGTGCTACCATGCCTGGCCCCTGCCCTGAAGTTATGCTTACACAGCCTTTGCTTCTTTGAGATTGGAAGGACACTATGCTGGGTTAGACATCTGGGTTTTCTAAGTCAAGTGCATTGTGAGGCTATAGGCAAGTCTTCATCTGTCTCTGTGCCTAGGTTTCTGTACTTGTGCCATAGGGAGCTGGATCGGGGACCCTCTGAGCCTGCATGTTGTGGGTGCCATGACCAATCACAGCGGGGACTTTGTAGTTCCCTGTAGACTCTTACCTGTCGCCTACCTCCTTGTTGGGAGCAGAAGGCTCCTGTCCATAGCTGCAGGAGCTACAAGGCCTCTGGCTGGGTGAGGAAGCAGGCATTGGGGGCTTCCCGGAGGCAGACTGGGTAGGTGACAGTGTAACTAAACACAATGAGCTTGTGTCTTGATGAGTACAAAGTCAAAGTCAGAGTAAACACAGCTGAGACAAAGGAACAGAGGAAGCTTTGTTACCTGCATTAGGCAAGAGTCATTCCCAAAGGGATGCTCTCCCCAAACAGAAGCAGCGTGGGGATTTTATTCAGGGGGCGTATGTGTGTTCACCTACAGGTGGGCCCATTCCTGAGAATGCTTATTTTAGGAGTGCATGCTCCATTTACAGTGGATGGACAGAAATGCCTCTGGGCAGGTTCCACTTACATCATAAAGTATAAGCTGAAAATAAAAGGAGAGGAGATTTTGGAGACACTGGCACAGATGTCTGCCCCGAAGGTCTGACTTGCCTTGTCACCAACAACAGTGTCCTCCGTGTTACAGGCAGTGACAAAGAGTCCATCCTGGAGCTGATCACCTCCCGAAGCAACAGATAGAGGCAGATCTGCCAGAGCTACAAGTCCCTCTATGGCAAAGTACACAGTGCAGCTGGACGTTGGGCTGGGGTGGGGGCTGTCACTCCCCCTGACATCATTCAGGATCCTTCCCAAGCCTGCTCCAGCTCTGCCTACATACTGGCTCTGCTGTTCTTCCTCTGGGTGCTCGTTTGCTAAGACCACATCAAAGAAGTAGACCTACATGATGGCCACTCTGTGCACTCCCAGGGCCTGAGAGAGACTCACAGAAAGGAAGACAGACAGTGATGGGGGAGGGTAGTGCTGTGGACTCGGATGAACCTGCATGGCTTACTTGTAGCTGTGTGAAGTCTCGAGGGCCTTTTCTAAGGAGTGATGGTAGTGTCCTTCCAAGAGCGGGATTCATTCAGCAAGGTGACCAAGAGGGCCTGGCAGAGACAGTACTCACTTATCCCTTCTCCCCATCCTGGGGCTCTGCCACCCCCAGGACCTCATCGCAGACTTCAAGTATGAGCTAACGGGGAAGTTTGAATGGCTGATCGTGACCCTGATGAGGCCACTTGCCTACTGTGATGCCAAAGAAATCAAAGACGCCATCTCGGTAAGAAGCAGAGGTGTGGGGGCGATAGAGGCATGGCTCAGCGGTTAGAGCACTGATGCTCCTGCAGAGAACCCAGGTTTGGTTCCCAACACCCACATGGGGCCAACAACCATTCAGTACTCCAGTTCCAGGGGATCTGACGCCCTCTTCTGACCTCCCTGGGCATTGCATGACACGGGCGCTTTCACATGCATGCAGGCAGTATACTCACACACATAAAAGGAAACAAAATAAAATAAAAAAGCACCACACCCCCAGTGGCTGTATTCTGCTTCAAGAAGCAGCTTGTCCTAGAGGGGCTCCCATTATTCACCAGCTTGACAGATGTAGACAGATGTCAGGGAAAAGCAGACCCATGAAAGAGACCCTTGGTCCTGATCCCCACACCAGGCAGTACAGTCCTGAAAAGACATGGAGACCAATAGTATCCGACACACCAGAGGCCGAGGGCACAGTAGAAAAGTCAGCAAGGCCAAGCCCTGGGCCTGAACAGGCCAAGCTGAGCCCCCAAACCTGCAGAGGCTTCAGCACATGAGAGTGCTGAGGGTCAAGCAGGGCTTCACCTGGCTCAGGCAGAGCTGCGCCTCTAGGTAGAAGGGGTCGATGCCCTGGTGGTGCAGGCCTGTAATCCCAACATGGGAGGGAAGGCTGGAGGACGGTAAGTTCAAGGCCATGGCCTGAGTTACCTAAAAGAAAAAAAAGGCAGCAGGGGCTGGGGAGCAGCCGGGGACCGGAGAGACGGCTCAGCAGTTAAGAGCACTTGCTGCTCTACCAAAGGACCCCAGGTCAGTTCACAGCACCCATGTGGCAGCTAACAACCATGCATATGTCCAGTTCCAGGGGATGTGACAACCTCTTCTGCCATCTGTAGGAGCTCCATGTACGTGGTACAAATATAGGCACACATACACACACATAAATAAAATTAAACAAAAGATTAGTAATCTTTGATAATGTGTGTTTTAGCTTCTAGCCCCTGAGACTCTTGCTAGCTCTCAGAGGGGCTTGGGGAGTTATCTAAGCCTGAGAAGGGCTGACTTTGTTGATGAAAATGTGTCTGTTGAATGGCATGGACAAAAATTCAGTCTTTACTAATTTAGATGAATGGTTATATGGGAAGGAACAGTGCACTTTTTTGCTGTGCAAAATTATTGTAATTAGAGCTAAGATTTAATGGGAACTAACCATAAGCCATATAGTGGGTCACGCCTTACTCTTTTTTCTCCTTTGCTCTTCACCCCACAGCCTTGTCTCAAAAGCATGTGCCTTGTTTGTGCAACCTCCTTATGGAGCAGGAGGCCTGGAGTATGGACCCTGGCTTTATGGCACTGGTGGCATCAGATGGAAGGGCCTGAGGACGGGTGGCCTTGGCCCTTTGCAGAGTTTCCTTCTACAGCATGTTGCAAGCTGGAGCCCTTTTCCCTCTTTTGGCTTATTTCCCCGAAGATGGACACTGTGTTCCTGCGGTTAAAGGAACCGGCAGGGGCCTCAGAGTTCATCTCACTTCTCCCTGGAAGAGGCCCTAGGGCTGCTCCTGGCCTCCACAGCAGAGGGGAGGAGGACAGAGGGAGCACCGCAGCTCTGGATGCTCATCCCTGCCTCCTTCCCCCATGTGTGGCTAGGTTTAGAGGAGTCCTTCGAATGCCAGGAATAGAATGCTGTTGTCTGAGTTAGGTGGTGTCTCACCATAGGCAGCAAGCAGTAGACACTTCGTTGTGTTTGTTTGCCCAGGCACCACTTTCCCGTCAACTCTCATCCATCATCCATCCTCCATTTGTCTACCATCCATCCACCTACCTTCCATCCATCTACCCATCCATCCACTCATTAACCAATCCATTCATCCATCCATCAATCCATTTAGTCATCCATCCATCGGCCTATCCATTCATCCCTCTGTCTGTTCATCTACCTGCCTGTCCACCATCCATCCATCCATCCATCCATCATCCATTCACCTACCATCCATCCATCTACCTTCCATCCATCTATCCATTCATGCATTAGCCTGTTCATTCATCTGTCCACCTATCTACCATCCATCATCCATTCACCTACCATCCATCCATCTACCTTCCATCCATCTATCCATTCATGCATTAGCCTGTTCATTCATCTGTCCACCTATCTACCATCCATCATCCATTCACCTACCATCCATCCATCTACCTTCCATCCATCTATCCATTCATGCATTAGCCTGTTCATTCATCTGTCCACCTATCTACCAGTACCCAGTCTATGCTGGGTAGTGTGCAGTTCTCAGGATACGGCAATAGGGAAAAACAGTGTATTCCTTCCTGCCTAGACCCTATAGACTCATGAGATAATAGTGGGTTTAAGAGAAACATGACTGCGACACACAGTGGTCAGATTTGACAAAGGAAATGAACAAGACTTTCCCAAAATAGGACCTATGTCAGGTAGGTAGTCACAGAACACCTGACTTGGAGAAAATGGGGAGCTGGTTGTATAGAGAGTGAAGATATGTTCCTTCTGTCAGAAGGACCAGCCAGTACCACATCCCCGAGGCAGAAGTAAGCCAGGTAGCCCTGGTGAGGCTGGAGAGGTAGAGGACAGGGCAGCATCAGGGCCTTTGTAGCCAAGAGACAGGAGATGTTTCACTCTGAATCCAAGGGCAAGTAGGGGATGTTGCAATCAGAATGGGCCTTGTGACAGCCACTCTTGTCATTATAGCTAGGAGAACCTTCCGAAAGCTTGTAGCTGCTGTTCATATGAAGGGTGATGATGCAGTGGGCTGGTGCAGAAGCAGAGGATTGTGTCACAGCACCAGCCGCTGAGAATAGACACCTGCATCTCCTGCCACAGCGGCCATGCAGACAGGATGGGGGTTTGTAACAATAGCTAATCATTTGGGAACAGCAAGCAACTTCTATCCCAGAAGGCTGAGGATGAGACTACAGCCTGTGTTCTTCCTACAGCCTATGAGCGGGACCTGGAGTCTGACATCATTGGAGACACTTCTGGCCACTTCCAGAAGATGCTGATTGTGCTGCTCCAGGTTGGTCCATGGGCAGTCCAGGCCCTTCCTACAGCTCTCCCACTGTGGACCACAGACTCCATTCCCTGCCCCTCACACAGGAGCGGTGCTTGGTGGAAGGGCCTCCTCTTGGCTGCACCTCCCTTCCTGCCCACCCTCTATGCTTTATTCTCTGGAGCCTAGAGGCCCCTCTGGCTCTCCTGGGTGTAGGCAGAGCCCAGGCTCTGTCCATCAGTCCATCTTCATGCCCACACCCTGCTTTGCACAGACTTGTGACCTGAGGAGACTTGCATGCCTCACTCATAGCCTACATGAGATCTCAAAAAAACAAAACAATGAAGCCAAAAGTGGTAGCACACACTTTTAATCCACTTGGGAGGCAGAGGCAGACGGATCTCTGTAAGTTCAAGGCCAGCCTTGTCTACATAGCAAGTTCCAGGCCAGCAGGGGCTACAGGGAGACCCTGCCTCAAAAAGACCCAACCAAAACAAACAAACAGAAAAAAAAGGGTGGGGGGCTGGAGAGATGCCTCAATGATTAAGAGTGCTTGCTGCTCTTCTAAAGAACCCAAGCACATGTCTGGCTCAAAACCACCTATATCCAGCTCCAGGGACACCCTCTTCTGGCCTCCATAGGCACCTGTACTCACATGCACAAACCTATACACAGATATATATACATAATTAACAATTTGGAACTGGAGAGATGGCTCAGTGGTTAAGAGCACTTACTGCTCTTGCAGAGGGCTGGGGTTCAGTTCTCAGCACCACATGGCAGCTATCAACCTCTGTAACTCCAGATCTTAGAATATGACGTCCTCTGGCCTCCACAGGCATTGCATGCACCTGGTACACTCACTTATATGCAGGCAAAACACTCATACACATAAAAATAATCACATTAAAAAAAATTTTTTTTTGTCTTTTTGAGACAGGGTCTCCCTGTAGCCCCAGCTGTCCTGGAACTCACTATGTAGACCAGGCTGACCTTGAACTCACAGAGATCAGCCTACCACACCTGGCATTATTTTTATTTTATGTGTATGGGTGTATTGCCTGCATGTGTGTAAGTGCACCCATGTCCTGCAATGCCCATGGAAGTCAGAAGAGGGCGTTGGATCGTCTGGAAATGAAGTTACAGACAGTTAGCCACCATGTGGGTGCTGGGAATCAAACCCAGGTCCTCTGCAAGAGCAGCCAGTATTCTTAACCACTGAGCCATCTTTCCAGAGGCTCCCAATTGAGGGAGCCTCAACTGGGGAATTTCCTCTATTGGACTGGCCTGTGGCCATGTCTGAGGGCATCTTCTTGATGAGTGATGTGGGAGGGCCCAGCCCACTGTGGGTGGTGCCACCCCTGGGCAGGTGGGCCTGTGTGGCATAAGAAAGCAGGCTGAGCAGGGGCCAGGGGAGCTAGTCAGCAAACAGCATTCCTCCAC